CCAGGTCCCCAGCAGCACAGAGCAGGGCCCGGAGCAGCTGGGGAGCCGGTGCCACCTTGCCACCCTCCCTGTCCCTGCAGGGGGCTTAGGCCCTTCCCTCTCTTTTGAAACCCCAGCCTGCGTCACTAACAGGCCGAGAGTGTGGCCTTGGGCCCAGGGTGTCCAGGACTCAGCACCGACGTTCAGAAAAGAGCTTCCCTTGAGTCAGAGCTGAGACTCTCCAGGACACAGGAACCCCTCCCAGGGTCCTGGACCCAGCTGCTGCCCACAGCAGGAGGCCAGAGGCCTGAGCACCCACTCCTAGGGCAACCAGGCTGGGACCCTCCAGCAGGACCCCTCCCCAAGTGAGGTCGTGGCCTCTCCAGAAGCACGTGCACTTTATTGAACCACTGTAGAAAAGTGTGTGAGGGTAAAGGGTTGATACAGGAAGGGCTGGGGCAGGGTGAGGGATGGAAGCTGGATACCAGGGAGACAGACAGGTCACGGGCAGAGCCTCTGGCCCGGGTGATTCCTCTGGATCTACCGATAGGCTTGCAGAATCAGGATTGGGATGATGATCATCAGAATGGTCATGATGATGCCCAAAATCAGGGCCCAGATGTTCAGGCACTTGGCGGTGGAGGCGTAGGCCTGGGCCCCGGTCAGGTCGCCAACCATCTTCCTGTCCCTAGACTGCGGCAGAGGAGATGGTGAGGGGACCAGGAGCCCTCAGGTAGGGGCCACGTGCTATGGCTCAGGCTCCCCGCTGGCTCCTACCTGCCCTGAGATCAGGGACCACCCCTCCCCTTCCTCACCCAGCCCCAGACTCTCCAGGATCCTCAGGGCTCAGCCTCCCTCTGCCTTGGCCCCAGCACAGGCTGCTCTCCCCACCACGGGGCGAAGTCACCTGTGAGTTCCTTCTCACTTGCTGGGGAGCCTGGGTGCCAGTCTGGAAGGTGAGGGTGTCATTTCTGGCACTGGGTGATAGGGAGCCTTGCTCTGGGCTGCTGGATCGGGAGACTTACTCTGAGCCAGCCAGCCTCCTGGAGCCTCCCCCTAGACCTGCACTGAGCACATTCCCCAGGCCACACACACAGGTCACTCAGACAAAGCTACAGACGTGGGCACACACAGGACAGAGGTGCACACAAACCCACACTCACAGGGACACACAAGCCCCCACCCCAGGCAGCACCTGGGCAGGTGGAGCTCCAGGCTGCCCGGCTCCCCCGACTTCCCCGGGGCCACACGCACCTTCACGGAGTAGGCGAACGCTATGAAGCCCAGGCAGCAGGAGTTCATGAAGATGGTGTTGAACAGGGACCAGACGACATGGTCGGGCACGGAGGTCTCGCTTCGGATGTGAATCACGGTGGATGTCGGGGGTGCAGGGTTGTGGGGCACCCCCAGCACATCCACCTCATGCTCCTCCTTCAGCATCTCATAGTTTGGGGGACGGTCGGTGCTGGCGGGAGTGAAGAAGGTTTGGACAGTGTGGTTCATGGTGTCCGAGAAGACCCGCCGTGGTGGGGTTGCTGGGATGCTTCTCAGTGAGCCCTCCCCTTCCCCATTAGTTTCGATTTCTCAGCCACTTCCTTTTCCTGGCCTTCGTCAAATCGGGACTTGGCTGGGGCCAGATGAGGGTGGAACAAATTCCTGAGGATCAAATTACTTTAGGGCAGGGAGGGAGGGGCTGACAGCTCAATGGGGCTTCCTCTCTGGAGCCCAAGCCACCACAAGTCTTATCTGATTCCCACAGGCCCCAGAACAATTCTCCCAAGCCCTCACTGTTTTTTGTTTTTTTATTTTTTTTTTTGAGACAGTGTTTTGCTCTTGTTACCCAGGCTGGAGTACAATGGCGCGATCTCGGCTCACCGCAACCTCCGCCTCCTGGGTTCAGGCAATTCTCCTGCCTCAGCCTCCTGAGTAGCTGGGATTACAGGCATAAGCCACCATTCCCAGCTAATCTTTTATATTTTTAGTAGAGACGGGGTTTCACCATGTTGACCAGGATGGTATTGAACTCCTGACCTTAGGTAATCTACCCACCTTGGCCTCCCAAAGTGCTGGGATCACAGGTGTGAGCCATCATGTTCAGCATGCGTTTCACTTTTCAGTAAATCTCCCTACTTTCACTATTTTCTGACTTGCCCTTGAAATTCCTTCTTGTGGTGTCAAGAGCCTGGATGCCAGTGGGGGTCCAGGTCCCACTGGCATTTGGGGACCTCCCGAGGCCCACTGGAATCACTATGACATGTCACGACCCCCCTTTGAGATGTCCTGCCTTTCCTGGCAGAAGCAATGCACACCTTCCTTGTGAGGACTAACCTCTGATTTATCTTGCCCAAATTCCTAACAAAGGGGTCTGGGGAATCATGCTCTACAAACCATACATCCTCCTCAGATGGGTTTTATTTAACCTATTTAACTTACTTTCCAGCCTGACTCTGGCATAACATTATGAAAGAAGGAAGAAAATAAAAATATCCCCAGAACAAGTTTCTTTTCCACATTTTGAAATGGCCCTGCAAAGCGGTTCTTTGTGGAGAAAAATCTGCATCTGTAAAGAATGTCAATTAACATAGCGACATCATGCAGACCCTCCTAGTCCTGAAGAGATTAACTAAGCTCTGAACAGAAAACATTTGTCATCTATTGCCTCTAAGGGCAGTCATTGTAAAACTTCAAAAGAACTTTGGTCTCCACAATCTTTATCTTTTCTTTTCTTTTTTTTGAGCTGGAGTCTCACTCTGCCACCCAGATTGGAGTGCGGTGGCACAATCTTGGCTCACAGCACCCTCTGCCACCCAGGTTCAAGCGATTCTCCTGCCTCAGCCTCCTGAGTAGCTGGGATTGCAGGCGCAGGCCGCCACGCCCAGCTAATTTTTTGTATTTTAATAGGGATGGGGTTTTGCCATGTTGGCCAGAATGATCTGGATCTCCTGACCTCCTGATCCACCCATCTCAGCCTCCCAAAGTGCTGGGATTACAGGCGTGAGCCACCCTGCCCGGCCAAATCAATCTGTTTCTCAAATGCATTTGATTGATGCCTCATGCCTCCCTGAATGTATAAAACCAAGCTGTATCCCGGCCACCTCCAGCACACATTTGCAGGAACTCTGGAGGCCGAACCGCGAGCCATGGTCAGCCATATTTGGCTCAGGACAAACCTCTTTACATACTTGACAGAGTTTCGCTTTTTTCACCAATAGATGCCTACCAGACATCAGCTGGCCTTCCACCCGGCCCCTCCGCTCAGTGAGGCTGGAGGCCCCGGAGGAGGGCGCGTGCCCACCAGGCTCGGGCTCCCTCCCATGCCTCAGTCGTTCCCAGGGAGCTTGTGGCCGTGCACCTGGGTCAGGGGCCCTGAGGAAAGGGGGCATCCAGACATCTCAGGCCACGCTGGACACAGGGGCGGGCCAGGGTCCTGACACAGGAAGCCTCCTTCTGGCCACTGGCCCACATGGGACACACGGGGGCCCAGGAATCGGGGGGCCCTGGTCCAGGGACCGTCCCCCCAGGCGTCTCCCACTCCCAAAATGTGTAGTTGGAATAGGGAGAAATGGGGGTGGCCACAGCCCCTCGAGCTGTCAGTGGCCTGGGGGACAGCAGCCATTGCATGGGGGAAAGACAGCTGGAGTCTCTGAAACTGCTTCCCCGCCTGCCTCAGCTGGGAGAGTCAAACAAAAACAAGGTCTCACCTGGGAAGGAGCAGAAGGAAGTGGTGCCCTGGGAGCCTGGTGGGCACCGGGCACTGGTCCCAGTCACCCTCCCTTTCCTTAGCAGTCTGGCCCCACAGGACCCACGGCCCCTGGTGGGTGGTGTGGTTTGGTGAAGACCAACCAGGTGTAGCCCAGCAGCCGGCCGGAGCCGGGGAGGTGTGGACACGGACCCCGCAAATGCAGTCTTTTCTCCTCTGCGGCCAAAGATGGACAGGGGCCAATCTGTGGCCTCGTGGCAGAACTGTCCACCACCAGCAGGGCCCTGTCAGACCCACCAAGTAAGAGCAGGGGTGGGGAGAGCAGCAAGGCATCGTGGCAGCATGGACGTGGAACAGCTAGAGGGAGCGGACAGGCTGCCCTGACCCCCTCCCACCCCACTTTTCCCCAAGGCCTGTCGCTCCGTCCACGTCCAGGGCTGCAGAGGGAAGCCAGGGGGTCAGACGACGGAGGAGGTAAAATTCAGAGCCTGCGCCTCCTTGGGTCTGCTGTGGGTGAGGGAGAAGTTGGACCTCACTGGGACACTCCAGACCATGAGGTCCCCATGGCAGAGCCAGACACGCAAGCCGGGGCCATCCTGAGTTTCAGGGAGACGTGGCCTGGGGCAGAACTCGTGAGGAGGGCTGGACAAGGCCACGCCTTTCAACTGGCTCCGTCCGGCTGAAGGAAGAGGGCTTAGCGGGCCGGGCCTGAGGACTGACTGCTTCCAGTGGGCATTTAGTGCGAGACGTTCATATTTTACCATCTAGATATGAGCCTTGCTTTTGGCCTGGAAAACATCCTGTAGCAATGAGAAGCACCAGGCCTCTGACCTGCACCAGGCGATAGCGGGATCTTGAGCCCCAAAGCCATACGGAGCAGGACTGGCACCCCAGGAAAGGACAAGGGATTCAGCAGGTGATGACTGTCACAAGTGAGGTGAGGGCTTTGGGGTCACAGTTCTGGGGCCTGGCACACAGGCCTGGCAGGAGCCCTGAACCAGACAGTGAGGTCCCAAAGCTGCCGGCCTAGGTGTGGAGACCGTCAACGTAGAGGAAGTGTCCAGGGCCCCTGGCCCTCTAAAGTGACTCCCAACTGACTTGGAGTCAGAGGAGACTTGCGCTGGCTCGGGCCCCGGAGCATAAGCCTGTGCAGCATCAGAGGAAGAGAGGAAGCCCCGCCAAGACCTGAGCCCCTCCTAGACTTCAGCCCCTCCCTCCCTGCCCGAAAGTAATTTGATCCTCAGGGCTTTGTTCCACCCTCATCTGGCCCTAGCGGAGTCCTGATTTGACGAAGGCCAGAACGAGAAAATAGTTGAGAAATCGAAACTAATGGGGAAGGGGAGGGCCCACTGAGAAGCATCCCAGCTACTCCACCACAGCCGGTCTTCCCGGACACCATGAACCACACTGTCCATACCTTCTTCACTCCCGCCAACACCCACCATCCCCCGAACTATGAGATACTGAAGGAGGAGCATGAGGTGGCTGCGCTGGGGGTGCCCCACAACCCTGCGCCCCCGACATCCACCGTGATCCACATCCGAAGCGAGGCCTCCGTGCCCGACCACGTCGTCTGGTCCCTGTTCAACACCATCTTCATGAACTCCTGCTGCCTGGGCTTCATAGCCTACGCCTACTCCATGAAGATGCGTGTGGTCCCAGGGAAGTCCAGGGGGAGCCGGGCAGCCTTGAGCTCCACCTGCCCAGGTGCTGCCTGGGGCGGGGGCTTGTGTGTCCCTGTGAGTGTGGGTTTGTGTGCACCTCTTCCTGTGTGTGCCCACATCTGTAGCTTTGTCTGAGTGACCTGTGTGTGTGGCCTGGGGAATATGCTCAGTGCAGGTCTAGGGGGAGGCTCCAGGAGGCTGGCTGGCTCAGAGTAAGTCTCCCGATCCAGCAGCCCAGAGCAAGGCTCCCTATAACCCAGTGGCAAAAATGACACCCTCACCTTCCAGACTGGCACCCAGGCTCCCCAGCAAGTGAGAAGGAACTCACAGGTGACTTCGCCCCGTGGTGGGGAGAGCAGCCTGTGCTGGGGCCAAGGCTGAGGGAGGCTGAGCCCTGAGGCTCCTGGAGAGTCTGGGGCTGGGTGAGGAAGGGGAGGGGTGGTCCCTGATCTCAGGGCAGGTAGGAACCAGGGGGGAGCCTGAGCCATAGCACGTGGCTCCTACCTGAGGGCTCCTGTTCCCCTCACCGTCTCCTCTGCCCCAGTCCAGGGACAGGAAGATGGTTGGCGACCTGACCGGGGCCCAGGCCTACGCCTCCACCGCCAAGTGTTTGAACATCTGGGCCCTGATCGTGGGCATCATCATGACCATTGGATTCATCCTGCTAGTGGTGTTTGGCTCTGTGATGATGTACCATGTTGTGTCACGGATCTTACAGGACCAAAGAATTCCCTTCTAGCTGCCCACGGCCTGAGACCCTCATACTCCGACACTTGCTGCCCTTGCGGGAAGGGCTGCCCGTCCTGCTCCCTGGGTGCCCCCCACCCACATACAGCTGTGTATCCTCACAGGCCTCTCTGCGCTGACATTCAATAAAGTGCATGTGCTTGTGATGATGCTTTGACTTCACCTGGAGAGGGGCCTGCTGGAGTCCCCAACCTGGTCCTGAGACCGAGCCAGGGGTCAGCCCTGCACAGAGGAATCCCTCCTCTGCGAAGCTTTCCAGGGAGCAGGGCCTGCTCAGCCTTTGCTGGTTTCTGGCCTCCTACAGTGGGCAGCTCCTCAGTTTCCCAAGACCAGGACCACAGGGCAGAGATTTATCTGACACCAAGGTAAGGACAGACACACTGTGTCCAGAACACCTTTGGGCCGAGACAAACCTGCCTGCCTCTGAGCTGGCTGGAGCGCTGGTCTTGCAGAGGTGGGCAGCGCAGGCCCTGTGGGAGGAGCCCGGCTTTGTGCCCAGGGCAGCAGCTGAAGGAGCGCGGGCCTGCAGCCCCTCCCGGGTGATCAGGCTGCTGGGTCCTGGCCGCTGCCTCCTCCAGTCCAGCGGGCATCTTCTCTGCTCTCCTGGGGTGGGGGCAGCCATTGACCTGACGGTGGGCAGAGCCCACTGACTGCAGAGGCCAGTGAGACCCACTGACTTCACCAACTCGACAGAATCTGTGAAGTCGGAGCCCACCAGGCGGGCCCCTCCCGGCACACGGTGGGGCGGGGCCTCTACCGCGGTGTCCCTTGTCCCGGGGCTCGGGTTCAGGCTTCCGCAGTGGGACCTGCCTGGGGACCGACCCCTACCTGCCCCCACCCCCTCCGCCGCCCCCGCTGCGGCGCCCTATCTCCCGGGGCCCGGTCCTCGTGGGGGTCCCCAGGGGGGACCATGGACGTGCGTGGGGGCGCGTGCTCTCCCCGGGGTTCCGCTTTCGTGAGCTTGACCAGGGAGGAAGCCGGCCCGGGGGTCCCGGGATGGGGGGACGGGCGGTGGGCGCAGCCGCCGGGGCGGGAGGAGGCGCCAGGCCCAGGCGCGGGGTGCGTGGGACCCACGGGGGGGCCCCGGCAGGTGGAGGCCCCCGCGGGGTGGTCAGGGACCCGCGAACCCGCACTCTGGAAATGCGCATCACGAAGGCGGAGGTGCGGGGCGCGCTGTCGTCCCGGCCCCAGCGCGGTTCCCACGCGGCCCCCCACATCCCGGTTCCCAGCGGCGGGGCCCAGGCGGGCGGCAGCTCCGGGAGGCCGCGCGGTACTCCGGGGTCCGGAGACTTGGACGCGGCTGCGCGGGCCCGGGGTGCAGGCGTCGGGGGCCGCACGAGCCGCCCCGCGTGTGGGGTTCGCCTCCCGGAGACGGGCCGTTTCCGTCGGTAACGCTGGGGGCCCCTCCTGCCCGCGGCCCGAGAAACCGGCGCGTGGCGGTGAAGAAACGGTTTGGGAGGCGGGGTGGCCGCGAGCCGGGGTCGCGACGCTGCGCGAAAAACGAATCAATAAAAACGGGTCCGCGGACTCGACGGCCGCCCCACGCGCGGGACCCCAGGCGCTGTCAGGTCCGGGGCAGCCGCGGGCGCCAGGCACGCGGAAAGCGGGGCGAGATCTCCGAAGGCGGATCTTTCACTCCGTGATCCGGTCGGCGGAAAGGGTCAGACTCCGTCAAGGGTTTGAAGACGTTTCCTCGGAGCCAGACGGGAGCGACCGCGGCGGGCCGCCCGCGAAGTCCTGGGGACACACGCCCGAGGGGGCCGGGGCGCGGCCTGCTTTTACGCATTTTAGGGAGACGTGAGACATAAACCAAATACGTTCCAGAAGGACACTGGGCCCGGGTGCTGACTCACGGCTGTCATCCCAGTACTTTGGGAAGCCGAGGCAGCAGATCATGAGGTCAAGAGTTCGAGACTGTCCTGGCCAAAGTACTGAAACCTTGTCTCTACTAAAAATACAAAACTAGCTGTGCATGGTGACGGACACCTGTAACTCCAGTTACTGGGGAGGCTGAGGCAGGGGAATCGCTTGAAGCTGGGAGGCAGAGGTTGCAGTGAGCTGAGATCACGCCATTGCACTCCAGCCTGGCCACAGAGTCAGACTCCATTGCAAAAAAAAAAAAAGAAAGAAAGAAAGATAGAAAAAAAAGGAAAACATTAGTTTGGTCCAGAAAGGCAGGACAACCCAAAGCAGTGCGTGGGTGGGTGGGTTGGGGGTGCTGGTGTTCCACGATATGGGTGAATTTAAACATTTTCTGGTTGACAATTGGTTGAGTTTGTCTAAAGGCCTGGGATTGATAGAAAGGGACTGTTGAGGTTAAGATGTGGAGACCGAGGCCGGCCGCGGTGGCTCACACCTGTAATCCCAGCACTTTGGGAGGCCGAGGTGGGTGGATCACCTGAGGTCAGGAGTTCAAGACCAGCCTGGCCATCAAGTTGAAGCCCGGTGTTAAAATATATATATATATATGGAGACCAAAGTTCTTTCGAAGTCTGATAGTGCCTGCCCTGGGACAGACAGTAGGTGAGGAAGGGTTCCTACTCAGTTCTCAGTTAATCTCCTCAGGATTCGGAGAGTCTCAAAGAAAAAGATCCACCTATGTTAATAGAGATTCTTTACAGATGCAGATTTTCCCCCACAAAGAACCTCTTTGTAGGGCCGGTTCAAAATAAGGCAGAGAAACTTGTTTTGGGGTAAAATATTTTTATTTTCTTCCTCCTATCGTGATGTTATGCCAGGGTCAGGTTAGAAAATAAGTCGTGATATATACGGTTAAATAAAACCCATCTGATGAGAATTTGTAGGGCATGACTCCCTTAGATAGGAATTTGGGGAAGATAAAAAATCAGAGTTTAGTCCTCAATCATGATGAGCTGCTGAATTTTGAACAAGGCTGTTGTCATTTAAACTATCCCCTAAATGTCTCTCAAAGTCAGCTTGGCCCTCAAAACCAGGGATAATTAGGGGAAAACCCAGATGGAGGGGGAGGTTAGCTGGGGGGGAGGGGTGGGTTAGCTCAGCTCACAGTTAACAATAATTCTCACTGACATGCCACCGTAGGTAGCTCCTCAGGCTTGAGCAGGAAGGAGCCTGGCTCCCACCCGCAACCAGGAATGTCCAGCAACCACTCAGGTGATGATCCGATGGTTGTTACGCTGTTTCTCTAAAATAATAATTGGTAGCAACCAGCACCAGGGAAAGGCAGACTCTGAATAGATTTTAAAAGCCTGAAACGGGGGCCGGGCGCGGTGGCTCAAGCCTGTAATCCCAGCACTTTGGGAGGCCGAGGCGGGTGGATCATGAGGTCGAGAGATCGAGACCATCCTGGTCAATATGGTGAAACCCCGCCTCTACTAAAAAATACAAAAGATTAGCTGGGCATGGTGGCGCTTGCCTGTAATCCCAGCTACTCAGGAAGCTGAGGCAGGAGAATTGCTTGAACCCAGGAGGCGGAGGTTGCGGTGAGCCGAGATCGTGCCATTGCACTCCAGCCTGGGTAACAAGAGCGAAACTCAGTCTCAAAAAAAAAGAAAAAAAAAAAAGCCTGAAACGGATCGTAAGGTCGGCCCCCACTGTGGACAGCATGGCGACCCCAGGAACCGCAAACACACCTCTGGGGGGCCTTCTGGAACCAGAAAACCTGAAGTAGCTGGAAGGAAGACCCTGCGGCACGTAACTAACCCGAGACCTTCTCCTATCGGTCCTTTCCCGCCTCAATTGACAAGGCCACTGGACTTTGTAACTGACCTTGGCCCAGCCCCTGGCTCCACACCCTACGACCCCCTCCCAGCTTGCAATAAACCACCCTAAAGTAACTTCTGTAACTTTCCACTGCCCACCCTGAACCTATAAAACTAACTCCTATCCCAGCGCCCTTTGTTAACTCCCTTTTGAGCCTTAGGCCACCTGCACCCAGCTGAATAAACAGCCCTGCTGCCCACACAGAGCCTGTTTGTGGGGTCTCTTCGTTCAAAGGTCTCGTTTTAACAGTGCTGAGATCTCAGGAGTTGGGTGAGTGGGCCCCAGTGTGCAGTAAGAGGCAAAATGGCGGAGTGTAACTGATGTCAGACCTAGGAGCATCCCTGGTAAGGGAAGAACGCCTCAAGTGACTGCTAGCCCCCCAGAGATGGCAGCCCTGTTGTCAAGCCATTTTGAACCCTGTAACCTGCACGTGCACCTCCAGATGGCTACCTGGACCCTGAAAGTCCAAAACAGAAGACCGCGAAGGACAGCAGTTTCCCGTTCCAGCGCCGGACCAACCCGCTGAGCCAGCAGCAACCAGCCTGAGCCGTCACTCCCCCGTCGTTGCCCCGGCCTGCACAGCCTGCTCTGCCCCCACCTCCACGACGACCCCTTTTTGGACTGGACGGCTGGCCCCCGGTGGATGAACAGCCCTGCTGCTCACACAAGCCCGTTTGGGTGGCCTCTTCACTGGGGTGCACTCAACAGTGAGCCTGCGCGTGGCTCCAGCAAACAGGCGGCACGCAGCCAGTGCCAGGTGCTGGCGACAGCCCCCCAGGGAAGAATCAGGAGAAGGGGCGCAAGACGCCAGAGCCATGCCAACATATACACCCCCAAGTCACAGGTCAAACTGCTGACTTGACGCCTCAGGTCACCCACGTGGCACCAAGTGCACTTGACTTCCTTTCATTCCTGCTCCAGAGCTTTTTTATAAACTTCCCCTCGTGCTTTAGAACGTGCCTCGGTCTCGGCCTGGCCCGGTGGCTCACGCCTGTAGTCCCAGCACTTTGGGAGACCAAGGCGGGTGGATCACCAGGTCAAGAGTTCGAGACCATCCTGGTCAACATGGTGAAACCCCGTCTCTACTAAAAATACTGAAAATTAGCTGGGCATGGTGGCGTGTGCCTGTCATCCCAGCTACTCGGGAGGCTGAGGCAGGAGAATTGCCTGAACCCAGGAGGCGGAGGTTGCGGTGAGCCGAGATCGCGCCATTGCACTCCAGCCTGGGCAACAAGAGCGAAACTCTGTCTCAAAAAAAAAAATAAAATAAAAATAAAAATAAAAATAAAAAAGAAAAAATTAAATTAAATTTAAAAAAACACGCGCTTTGAATGAAGAGACCTCCCAAACAGGCTTTGTGTGAGCAGCATGGCTGTTTATTCACCTGGGTACAGGCGGGCTAAGGCGG